GAGCTGAGGGACAGTGCTCAGGCCCAGAGTTCAGGCCCCACGACCGGACCCAAAAAAAAAAAAAGAAATACATGTGAACTTAAAGGATTTGAGGCACCCTGTCAGCCTTGCTTTAGAAAGTACTTTATATCGGCAGGCACAAGTGGCTCATACCTGTGAGCCACTTGAGAAGCTAGGATTTGAGAATCTGAATTAGAAGCCAATCTGGGCACACAAATCTGAAAAATTCTTTATTTCCAATTAGCCAGCAAAAAGCAAAGAACTGTAAGTAAAGATCAAATGGTAGATCACCAGCCATGAACAAAAAAGCTGAGCCAATCCAGGTGCCGGTAGCTCACGCCTCTAATCCTAGCTAATCAGAAGGCTGATATCTGAGGATCACAGTTTAAAGCCAGATTGGGGAGGGAAAGCCCATGAGACTCTTATCTCCAATTAACCACCAGATAACCAGAAGTAGAACTGTGGCTCAAAGTGGTAAAGCACTAGACTTGAGTGGAAAAAGCTCAGAGGCCAAGTGCCAGTGGCTCATGCCTATAATCGTAGTTACTCAGGAGGCTGATATCTGAAGATCATGGTTCAGAGCCAGTCCAGGCTCTTATCTCCATGAGACTCTTATCTCCAATTGACCGCCAGAAGTAGCACTGTGGCTCAGGTGATAGAGTGCTCATCTTGAGCTGAAGAGCTGAGGAACAGCGCCCACGCCAGAGTCAAGCCCTACAACCAACAAAAAAAGAAAAAAAAGAAAAAGCTTAGGGACAGCACCCTGAATTTAAGCCCTATAACCAATGATGGATGGATGTGGCATATTCTCTTATATACAAAAGCTAGATATGGGATATGATAATAATTATACAGGACTGATAAATTATACATGACTCTAGGCTTCACAGTGAGACCAAAGTAGGATAATTCTTAGGCGAGGAACCCAAAGGTGCAAGGCCTCTGTGCCTCTGATCATATAAAGTAATCTTTACCAAGATGAATTTCAGGAAATGGAAGCAAGGGGTTTGTTTTTGGTTTGTTTTTTTTTTTCCTTTTTGTCTTTATTTGTTGGTTTATATGTCTCTGAAGAAATGGGGGGCACAGAAATGGAAAGAGAAAGGGTGAACAAATGCAGCTGAACTGTACAACTTTTGGGCAGGAATGAGAGGGAAAAACAGAGAGAATGAAGGAAGGATGACATTGCCCAAAAAGAAATTAACTTTATAATTAAAAATAAATAAGTAAAGTAAAACTGAGCAAGCCAGGCACTGGTGGCTCATGCCTGTAATCCTCACTCCTTAGGAAGCTGAGATCTGAGGATCATGGTTCAAAGCTAGCCCCAGCAGGAAAGTATAACACTTAAGTCAGTCGTGGGGCTTGAACTCTGGGCCTGGGTGCTGTCCCTCAGCTCTTCAGCTCAAGGCTAGCACTACTACTTGAGCCACAGTACCACTTCCGGCTTTTTCTTATGTGGTACTGAGGAATCGAACCTAGGGCCTCATGCATGTGAGGCAAGCACTCTACCACTGAGCCACCTTCCCAGCCCTGAAAGTCTGAGACTTATCTCCATTAAACTACCAAAAGAGCCAGGAATGGAGCAGTGGCTCAAGTGGTAGAGCACTAGTCTTGAGCATAAGAAGCTTAGGCCCTGGCTTAGTGGTAGAGTGCTTGCCTAGCATACATGAAGCCCTGGGTTCAATTCCTCAGTATCACATAAACAGGGGGGAAGAAAAAAAAGAAAGAAGCTTAGGCCCTGAGTTCAAGCCCCAATACTGACAAAAAAAGAAAGAAAAATACTTTTGCCAAAGAAATTGTTTAGGCCTGAAATGGTATCCTTTAATCATAGTCTGTTGCATTTTATATATTTTTAAATCATACCTGTATTTGTATTAAATTATCAAACAATGCAGAATATTATTTGTTATATTATATGAATGTATAGATCATTAAAAATGAAACATGAAATAGATTGTTGGCAAGTATAAAAATAAAACAGCGAAACCTCTTGAAATTAGGAAGGGGTGAAGGGAATCAGAGAGTGGGAGGGGGCATTGATTGGAAATGTCACAGTCCCCCTTGTATGCTAATTTTTTTTTGTCAGTCATGGAGCTTGAACTCTGGGCCTGGGCTCTGTCCCTGCACTCTTCAGCTCAAGGCGAGCACTCTACCCCTTGAGCCACAGCGCCACTTTCAGTTTTCTAGTGGTTTACTTGGAGATAAGAGTCTCACAGTCTTTCCTGCCTGGGCTGGCTTTGAACCATAATCCTCAGATCTCAGCCTCCTGAGTAGCTAGGATTACAGGCATGAGCCACCAGCACCCAGCTATGCTAGTTCTTATAAAGGGAATCCTGAAATATATTGTAATTCTGTAATACTCCAGTGAAGAAAAGACAAATATATGAAGTACTTAAAGTAGTCAGAATTGTACACAAAAATAGAATGGTGATTGTCAGGGACAGAAGGGGGAGAGAGAGATGGGGAATTTAATTGGTATAGAGCATCATTTTGCAAAATGAACAAAGTTACAGACGTAGATGATGGTAATGGTGATTCTGCATTATGAATGTATTTAGTGCCACCAAACTATGAAAAATGGTTAGGATGGAAAATCCAATGTGTATTTTATTCCAGATTTTTCAATGGGGATATGAAGACTTCAAAAAATTTGGTGAAGAAAATAAATATTCTGCAATATTTGATAAATCTATGTTTTTTTTGGTCGGCCATGGGGCTTGAACTCTGGGCCTGGGCGCTGTCCCTCAGCTCTTCAGCTCAAGACGAGCGCTCTACCGCTTGAGCTACAGCGCCACTTCCGGTTTTCTGTTGGTTTATTGGAGATAGGAGTCTCACGGTCTCTCGTGCCCGGGCTGGCTTTGAACCTCGATCCTCAGATCTCAGCCTCCTGAGTAGCTAGGATTAGAGGCTTGAGCCACCAGCGCCCGGCAAATCTATATGTTTAAAAAAAATGAGTCATAGTTTCTGTTTGACATCTGCTTCAGATAACCTGTAGTTACAAAACTTGATCACTTGTTTTACAGAGAAAACTAGAAGCTGAGCTTCTTCAAATAGAGGAACGACACCAGGAAAAGAAGAGGAAGTTCCTGGAAAGCACAGACTCCTTTAATAATGAGCTGAAAAGGGTATCCATCCACCCAACCTGCTTACTCTGCCCTTATCACATGCCTGTTACCATGATTTCCTTGTCCTCCAAAACAGTGTTCTTACCAAGCTTTGTTCACTTTAAAACAGGGCTAACATCGCAACATAATCTTTACATCTTTGATTTATAGTATCATTTCTATTTTCTGGAAAAAGTAATAACTGAAACATTACTTAGTGTTTCTCTTTACTATGTCTATTGATGCTAGAACGCTTCAGTGTTTTCATTTAAATTCCTACACAGTCTTGAATTGTTTTTCCTGTATTAGAACATGTTTATCAAACATCTTCATTTAATGGTGTTCACAGTTTGTACTTTGTGTGTCCTAATGCTGAGAATGTATAATCCAGTCCTCTCAGTGTTGCCTCGAAGCCCTCTGTAGGAGTTGATAGTACTTGGCTGCTAGAGAGCTGCTTGATTCTATGAACTTTTTTTCCTTTGGTGATCCTGGGGTTTGAACATAGAGCCTTATACTTGCTAGGCAGGTGCTCTACCACTTGAACCACACCCCAAGCAGTGCATGTATCTTGTTTGATGGGCAAGGAAACCCAGTTTTTAAACCTGTGTTTCAAAATGATGAGAATGTTTCTGAGTTTTCTTGTTTTGTTTTTCCTGACTACCAGTTGTGTGGTCTGAAGGTAGAAGTGGATATGGAGAAGATTGCAGCTGAAATTGCCCAGGCAGAGGAGCAGGCCCGCAAACGGCAGGAGGAGAGGGAGAAGGAAGCAGCAGAGCAGGCTGAGCGTGGTCAGGGTGGTATGCCTCCTGAGGAAGAGCCAGCGGCCAGCAAAGCCGAGGAGAAGAAGGATGATGAGAGCATTCCAATGGAGACAGGTAACTTGCCACTGCCAGCGGCGGGCGGCGTAAGTCCCTTGAGGGCCTTTTTATTGATTCTCCTGTAAATGCTTTTCATGAATTATATTCTTGCCTCTTTACTGAATTTGACATAGCATTAACATGGAGTATTTTAATCGTGTTCCGAACATTATTTATATAGGTAATGATCATTGTTCTCAAGATTGTCTTTGATATTCTAAAACACATTTAGTAAAAATAAAACATAATAGGCCAAATCCATCCTCTCTCTCTCCACCCTCCTTTTGTAAGTAAAGTTTTACTGAAACACAACCATTCCTGTTAGTTTATTCACGTCATGTACATATCATACGTGTCATGTAGGGCTGTGTTGAGGAGGAGTTGGAACAAAGATGGCCCACAAAGTCTAAAATATTTACTGTCTAGCCCTTTGCTTGTCCCCACCTTAGAAAAACTTATTTCTAAACGTAACAGTCTTCTGAATAAAAGTATCTCTGGGGGTAAAAACCAGTGTGTAAATTTCTGGCATACAGTTTACCTGTCTGGCACATTACAAATAGTACTATGCTGAAAATAGTTACAGCTGCACCATCAGAGTTTCCTGGACCATTGTTGCAAGAAGTGGGAGGGACATTGGCATACTTTGTGCTCATATAACCTGGAAAGCATTTGATGGAATTATTGGTATCTTTACCCAGAGTTTCTATAAAATTTAACCGCAGCCAATTAACATTTCACACAGTCGGGTTTTCAGGTTTCATTATCAGAGCCTCTTTATGTTTTTGTAAACATGTTTTTGTCTTAAATTTGGATCATGAGCACATTTTTGTGGTTAGAGCTAAAGCTTGAGAATTAGGGTATGGTTCTTCACTATGTGGTAACTAAACACTCAGTCCTGTCCTCTGTTTTGTCATCCATTTGTGGGCCTGTCCTATTCTCACCACCTGTACATCCTTTGTTCAGATTCTGTCTGGGTTAATTTTTTTAAAAAATAGCTGAAGAAAATTGATAGGCAAAACAAGTAAAATTCATGTTGGTTTGAGACACTCTCAACTGTGTTGTAGGCTTAGCCTTGATCTCCTGGGCTCAAGCAATCCTCCTGAGTAATTGGAACTACAGGCATGTTCCACCACACCCTGTGTAATCTTAATGATGTATTAACATAGTATGTCTATGTTAAATACTATTCAGTATAGAATCTATCTATCTATATTTTTTTGAGGGGGGTGGTCCAGTCTTGGGGCCGGAACTCTGGGCCTGGGCCCTGTCACTCAGCTCTTCAGCTCAAGGCTAGCACTCTACCACTTGAGCCACAGCATCACTTCTGGCTTTTTTCTTTTTGCTTATGTGGTGCTGAGGAATCAAACCCAGGGCCTCATGCATGCAAGGCAAGTGCTCTACCACTGAGCCACCTTCTCAGCCCAATATTTTTAAATTCATAACTTTCTTACATTCTTTTCTCATAGTATTTGAAACCTAGCACATATTTTACTCCTTTAGTACATCTATATTATAAATCTAAATTTTCATCAGAAGTGTTTGGTGTATATTTAGATCTCATAACCTTAGAGCTAAGAATATTTTCTCACTGTCACTTATTCCAGAATTGCTTAAAAATTCCTCAGTCCTGGCCTATTTCAGGTGCTTAATAGATACCTATGGCTGCCATGGTGATTAGCACAGCTTTATGGCATCAGCTTCATTAGAATAAATGCTAGTTTTGAAATTGACAGTGACAAATGTGTGATTACAGAGGAGACACGCCTCGAAGAAACAACGGAGAGCCAACAGAATGGTGAAGAAGGCACATCCACTCCTGAGGACAAGGAGAGTGGGCAGGAGGGGGTGGACAGCATGGCCGAGGAAGGAACCAGCGATAGCAACACTGGCTCCGAGAGTAACAGTGCGACAGTGGAGGAGCCGCCCACAGATCCCATACCAGAGGACGAGAAGAAGGAATAGATGTTGCCTTGTTTTATGTGTCCTAAATACTTTTTTAAATGAAAAAAAATGTTTTTTGGTTTTAATGGTGTTATGTGGTCTGTGCATTAATTTTTTTTCTTGTCCATGTTACACCACCAAAGGCACTTGGACCACGGGTGTTGTGAGCTTAATGGCCCAGTCCCCCACGTCCCTCAGTGTTATGAAGATGGCTCTCTTCTCTGTGGATCTTGTTGTTAGCATTTGACTGCCGAAAGCCTCAGAACCTAGACTAATTGGGAAAACACCCACCTTTTGTAGAGAATTACCTTTGATGCTGCAGAATCTGTTCTTACAAATGCCTTCCTACAGCTCACTTGGGTGCTTACTGAAGCCATAGCTTTAAACCTTCCCAGGCCCCATTAGCAGCCTCCTCAGCCCTTGGGTACCTGTGTTGAAGACTTTCTTGGAAACACAGTCATGTGAGGATGTGTTTGTTCACGCCCCCTTTTTATATGTAACCAGTATCAGGTTCTGGGAGTCATGTTAAAGGAAAGAATGTAACCTGCATCTAACTACACATGGATCCTGCTCATCAGGAAAGAGTCTCCATAGCTAGATAGTTTCTGGTATGAAGTCATGGAAGTGAGCGCCACACAGGCACACTGTACTGCGTTTGTCCTGATTATACTGGGTGTGTTCTGTAAATTCATCTTCATTGTAGAGGAAAAAAATAGTAATACTTTCTTTTACCAGGTTTTCCAAAGAGAGATCACATTGCTTAAGGAATATAATATTCTTGTAATGGACTAGAAAAACATCTTGCAATTAAGTTCATCCACTTGAAGTTGTTTTACAGTAATTAAAACTTGAAAAACCTCAAGGCTCAGGATCCCATAGATCAGAGCCTATCTTTTTGATAAACTCTTCATAAAGTCTTGGAGACTAGAAGACAGTTTGTGACACACATGCGTCTCGAGAACTAGAATAGATTTTTACTAAATAGTGGTATATCTGATGGTATATGTTTCTTAAAGGTCCAAATGTAATAAAAAAAAAAGAAAAAAGAAAAGAAAGAAAGAAAAGGTCTCAGTGTTTTTAATTTGTATGCAAGACAAATATGCAATTTGTCCTTAGAATGCAAAGACAAAACTAATGGCTGCTCACTAGGCCCTTGTTGCCCAACTGTGTTTATAAAGTGCCGTACAACCGTGTTCATTTGCACAGGTACTTGTAAAGTTTCTTTACATGCCACATAGAGATGGTCTGATTCCAAAAGTAATTGGGAATATTTTTTACACTGATATGAGAATACAAAGAAATTAGGACAGAAGTTGTCTTTGGGAGCGGGAAGTGGATACATAATAGATATAGCTGAATATGCTTTCCTATTTGTCTAATCCTCAGGAGCTGAGACAGGAGGATCACAAAGGCCCAGCCCGGGCTATACTGATTTCAAATTACAACCTAAGTAAAAAATAAATGTAAGCCCCAAAGAGAGATATCTAAACTGACTTGCCTTCATTTCCAGGGAGTTCACTGCTGAGCACATAGCACCATTTGTGACTGTGACCTCCAGCCACTATCTGATTTGCCTCTTGAAGAGTGGAGTGGAAGCAGCCTTTGACATCTGCTTTTCTAAGTGTGTGGGTTCTTTCTCTCGATGGTTTGTGAGTCAAAGAACCAACTTATCAAGTAGGCCTATTTCTGTGTATTGGGCATTATAGATCTAAGAACAATCTCTTCCCAGACAAACTGGATAGCCTCATAAATTCTGTGGCAGTCAAAATGGGACAGAGACGTTATTAAAATGGTAGGGATGAATACCTGTCTCTAGGCAGATGGAAGCATTTCCTGCTGCTGAAGAGCTAGAAGGCACTAAAAAAAAAAAGTGCACAATAGGGTATCATATTAAGTTAGATGGGAATTGACAGCTTCTAATCACAGGAGAGATGAAATTAAAATCGTTAGTGTGATGCATGTAGAGACAACATTCAATGAATCTTAGTTTTGAGGTTTGAGAACATGGGATGAAATAGGGGTCTTTGATTTTTTTTTTTTCTCCTTGTCCCCATAGACACAGTCAATAACTGAGCCTGCTTCAACTCTTAAGTGGATTGAGCTACCTTCCCAGTGTCCTCAGCTCCAAAGCCCCATGATTCTCCTCAGGGCACTTTTGTTCTGAGTACAGGTGCAATAAGTTTGAGAGCTTAAATTTTTCTTAAGTTTCTAACAACAAATGGGAATGAGGATGCCACAGTTCTTCCCCTTCTCACCCCGCCCCCCATCTTTCCATTAGGAATGCAAATTTGGGTAATCTCCATCATTCTGGGGTTGGTTGGTTTGTTTTTGTTTTTGTTCTGTTTGGGGCCTGAACTCTGGCCTGGGCTCTGTCCCTCAGCTCTTCAGCTCAAGGCTAGCACTCTACCACTTGTGCCACAGTACCATTTCTGGCTTTTTCTGCGTATGTGGTGCTGAGGAATTGAACCCAGGGCCTCCTGCATGCAAGGCATGTACTCTACCACTGAGCTACCTTCCCAGCCCCCATTCTATATTTTTTTTTATGTGACTTCCACAGTACATGCTAATTATGTACAGTCAACACACTGCAGTGTTTCAGCCCACAAAAGCCACCCAGGACATGGTTCTCAGACTAATGGAGCTATAAACTGTTTATTGCTAAGAATGTTTACTTTATGTTTAGATGCAAGAATGCTTACCATTGTGTTCAAACTGCTTACAGTATTTAGTACAGCAGTGTACCAAGTAACTGGGTGGTAGCCTAGGAGTAATGGGTTTAGACATAGCTGAAACATACAATCAGTTTAGATAGATAAAGCCTAAACATACAATAGGGTTGGCTCTGGTGGGTAACACCTAGAATCCTACCTACTCAAAAGACTTAGATCTGAGGATCATGGTTTGAAGCCAATCCAAGCAGAAAAGTCTATGAGACTCTTATCTCCAATTAACCAGCAAAAAGCCAGATGTAGAGCTGTGACTCAGGTGGTAGGATACCAACTTTGAATGAACAAGTTAAGTTATAACACCCAAGCACAGAGTTCAAGCCCCAGTGCTGGGCACACGCATACTCATGCACATGCACACACACACCAAGATACAGCATAAACATATCTATGCTTTATAGCAATGCCTGACTATACTCTAGAAAGAAGAGATTTGGGAAGAAGTAAGTCCTGAATGAGAAAGATACCACAGATTAGCAAAGGGAATCCAAGATCATCTTGAATAGCTACTGAAATTCAACTAGATATGTCCCAATCTTTTGATCTTGCACCTTTAGATACTAGGTAGGGATGTCAGACAGCTGATGCTCAGAGGGCAGAACTCCCTATGCCTGCAGTTAAATTGACACTTTGCCTTTAAGGAGACTGGGATTTCTACTTTGTGAAATCTCCCTCCACCTCCAGTCCCACTAACCACCCTCTACCCACCTGGCCTTATGCATGGGTTTTGTCTTGCTTGTCACCCAGGCTAGAACAATGACAGTTTTGATGTCATTGTTGATGTCTTAATGATCTACCCATTAACATGCTTAACATCTTCGCAAAATGAAAATTATCCTTTGTAGTAGTGAGCTAAAAGAAACAGCTGGTTTTTGGAAGAAATCATGCTGAATTATGATTGGAATTACTGGGATAAAGTTTCCTTTTTTATCTGTATGGTAAGACAAATTCTGAATTTAGTAGAAAATGGTATAAGCATATTCATGATCATAAACCTCTTATAGAATTACCAGCCTCAGACTTCAAACCTCCTGTTTCTCACCTAGCTGGATTACAAGTGTGTACCACCACGCTCATGTATTGAGAAAAGATCTTGCTAACTTGAACCCAGGCTGGCCTCAAACCATGATCCTTTTATCTTTGCCTCCCAGTTAGCTGAGATTATAGATGTGAACCACTGGGTTTGGCCCTGAAGTTTGTGGTGGTTTGTTGTTGTTGTTGTTATTGTTATCCTCGTCATCATCAGTCGTGGGGCTTGAACTCTGGGCCTGAGCACTGTCCTTGAGCTCTTCAGCTCAAAGCTAGCACTCTACCACTTGAGCCACAGCACTGGTTTTTTGGTGGTTAATTGGAGATATGAGTCTCACAGACTTTCCTACCCGGGCTGGCTTTGAACCACAATCATCAGATCTCTTCCTGAGTAGTTAGTAGCTAGGATTACAGGTATGAGCCACCAGTGCCTGGCAGTTTGGTTTTTTTAATCTGTAGGGTGTTTTTGTTGTTGTTGTTTCTGAATTGACTGCAAAGGAGTCACATCTGGGGACCTGTGCAAAGAGGAGCTCAAGTTTAAGGCCAGCCTGAGTGACATAACAAGTCTAAGTATGTATCATTAGGCTTGTAAGTATACTCTCCCATGTTCACATGATGTATACTCTAATAGTCTTACTGTTCATTGTTCAAGGAAACCCAGATTAAAGTGCAAATCCCAAGCCATAAGTATATGACAATCTGCTTTTTAAATGTATAGCTAAGCCAGCGGGCTTCTGTCCATGCTGTCTCAGTCAGCACCAGAAAGGCTTTTTGTGTATACTCAGAAGTAAAAATGTCATGTGAAGAAGGGAAATCCCCAAAGGAAATGTCTTTCCCCCAAAACCCAGACATTAACTGAGACAATGTGTCTCTTTGGGGAGCAGGAAAAGCAGGGAAAGAAGCCTCAGGCTGACCACACTCATGAGAAACCACATCCCACCCAGCATGGGATCCCCAGTACCAGGCCACCCTGCCCTTAAATCAGTGTTTCTAGTCTTGAGGAACTCAGCCTATCTTAAAAAGACAAGCTCATTACCTCTTCAGTTAAGTAACGATTTCTTTTTTTACTGAGCTAAAGCCTACCTTCCATAATTTCAGTCCCCTATTCACATGTGCACTACTGCAAGCACACACGTGCATGTGCACACACACACACACCTCTTGGAGTCAAATAGAATAAATACAATGCTCTTCCAAGTGAAAGATTTTCAACTGTTTCAAGACACATACCCCTTTGGATCTTGGTGTGAGACAGTTGCAGTTCTCGTGGTTCTGTGGTCTCTCCTCCCGTGGGCAGTCTACCCTCCTCCTTCTGGGGCGAGGCCACCAGA